AGAATTGTTAACAGTTTAAAAATGTTAATTTTTAAAATGTTATCGTCTTACAATTCATGGGTTTTGTTTATTTCTTTGAGTTTTTATTGCATAACTGATTTCGACATTTAAATAATTATAACAAAAATAAATTATATTTTATTTATATTCATGATTGTGATATAATAATAAGATATTTAAACCTGTAAATTGAAATTAATGGTTGAGAGAGTAGATATAATATTGTAGTCCTTGGCCCTATGTGCTAGGTCGCTGCATCAAATTATCTAATTATAATAATAAAAATGTTTTTGAAGTACTATAATAAATTGTTAGTTTTAAGCTTTTGGAGTAGTCCATATTTTGTTGTTTTTTGCATCGCTCTTGGCCCTTTGGACTAAGTTCTCGTTTATGAAATAAATTGGAAAAAAAATTTACTTTATATAACATTTTTTATTGAAAAAGAACATTGTGTTCGGCCGGACCGAAGTTTTTATACCCTCCACCACGTAATGTGTATGGGCGTAACTTTCATGTTGGCATTATATCAAAACTTGGACCTACATAGACAATTTTTAGCACAAATTTCAGCCACTACAATGGTGAAATTAATCAAAAACCTTCAAAATACTTACAATGTGCGCAACCCTTATATGGATCTACACTGGTGGACAAAACTATACCAACTAAAATTGTAAAAATAATAGATACCGTATAACTTTTTCCTAAAATAAACATATCCTGTTGGTTTTTTTCAAACAAGAGCATAAATACAAAATTAATGTTAATTTTTGCTTGGATGAGTTCTGACATTTTATTTATTTTTACCGTTATTATTACTATGTTTTCGTTTTTAGTCTATTTCGATTCTTACAGATCTTTTCTAAATGTATTTTATTACAATAACATGTGTCTGGTTTTCAGTTTTGGCTTACTGCCAAAAAATATGAAAATGGCTACAAACAAATACAAAATACAGCTAATTACCGGTGATTCTGAAAATAATTTATCAGAGAATATTATTTAGAAAAATAATCCATGATTTCCCAGGTTATAAATTGGTTTTGGTGATATATCCTCAAGAACAGAGTGTGTACTAGTTATTGTAGCAGTACTACATGCCCGGAAACCATCAAGAAAGCCCTCATATTATTAGGAATCAAACTCTGTGGAGAAATATTAAAATTGCCGAGAGAAAGTCAAAAGTTTAAAGGCGCAAGCCACAGGTATTGGTAGGTATTTATGAATAAATGGATCAAATTGTTTACACAATTGTGTTGGATATCGTTCTATGGGATCTATACCAAACCGATAATTTTTGTTCGACAGATTTTTACAAGAATTTGATAAATTAGAATTTTGTTGAAAAACATGCTTAAACCCCCCAAAATACCGAATAATAGATGTTCCATTATATGGGGGATAACCGGAAACTTGGGCCACTATTGATTATTTTTGTAGGAAGATTTTCTTGTCAATGAGAATTCAAAATATAAAAATACAAGTAATTTGGTTGAAGCACGTGTACAAGCTCTCCAAAATACCGAAATTTGGGATGTAGTGTTATATAGGGGATTGGAAATGCTTAAAAATAAAAAAACAATTCCCATATAGTGGTATTTTTTGGGTACGTTATTTATTCTGCCCAAAAATGCCATTACTAACCGGAAACATAGGTCGATGTTGATATCTTTTGGTAGTGACATTTTCTACTTAATAAGAATCCAAAATATACCAAATAATAGGGGTTACCGTTAAATGAGGGCCAACCAAACGTAGCAAATTACAGCCATAATACCGAATATTTGGGGTCTATACCAAAACGTGGACCGCAAGGGCAAAATTTCAAACTCAAAAATATTTCGATCTCTATTGTGATTTCTTAGCTTAAGAAAATTGAGCAACGGAGATTTCCCCGAAATTGTCCCGTCACCTATTGGGAACAAATCTCAACAACGAAACGTGACGAAAACTGCACGTAAATTGTATGATAAAAGCAATACGACCATTCTTTGTGCTGATAAGGATGTTTTTAAACAAAGTTCAATATGTATAACAGTGAGATCAATATTTGGGTGTGATTTTGTGAGTCAATTGAGAGAGATTTAATCAACCAGGACCAGATGACATTTTCCAACATGCAGGGCTTGTCTGCACATATCATTCATATAAAGTCTTCGGAAGGAGTTTAAATGTGATCTTCATATCAGAAGCCGCAAAATCATGTTGCACTTTACCATAATACTATAGACCTTTTGGTATATCTTCCTTTCTAGGAAACTCATCTAACTGAACAAGATACTGCCTTACACAAGGTGGCTGTGTTCCTAGATATTGAATATGTCCTTTCCGCACTCGAACACACAGGGATCTCCTGGAATATAATTGAGTGGATGGATGGAATGTTGGGAAGCATAATCATCAATTTATACACTGAGTAAAGTTCCGTAATGAAACCCGTCAACAGAGGCACATCCAACACATTATCATCCCATTGTAGCCTATTCGGTTTATGTAGTTTTGTTGATAAATGGTAAATTTATGCCAACCATACCCGATAGAAGAGAATTAGACTTTATGCTCACTCTTTATATCCGAAATCGAATTTGCTTCATCATTATTATTTTTTTGCCAATCAAATTGATAATTCATACAACATTTTAATCATGCGTTTCAATGGACTTTACACGTGTTTAATGCCCAATATTTTTAGCAACTATTCGGCACAATTTTATTAACCCATATTTATCAGTTGTATTTATTTTCCATGTACGTACATATTTTATTTTTATACTTTTTCTTCTATCTATACTGATTTGATTGCTTTCTTAACTGGCAATGAATGATAAGGAACAACAAGTGCGATGTGAAGTTTTATTTGTCCAGATAAGAAGTAAAGCTGCATAAACGTGTTTACCAACGTTTGGATTTTTGACGATGACGTGAGGAAAATCCTAGTTGAAGAGCTACTTGTTGTGATTGCTTCATATTATTGCAATTTTGAATTACACCCCCCAAATGTTGTGAAAACCATTTCAGTTCGCAATTGTTGACCGATCGTCAATTTTTTATTGAAGGCTTGCGACAACTCCAGTAATGTTTTGAGGTTAAATATACGAAAAACTATAAATTATTGTTCATAAGTACAGAGGAGAGGCCTATCAAACATGATTGAATTGTGCTCACATTGTTGCATTTGAGAATACAATTAAAAAATACACTCGAAGAACACCGGCAATCGATAGCACTAGAATTGCAGCATCTAACGCTACAAATTTGAGTATTCGTTTTGTGTGAATTGAACATAATATTGCCAATGGAGTTAAAAGAAGAATCAAATTGAGCAGTAATAGTTGTCATAACAACAACAAATCATTATTCACTCGCATATGAAGATAAATATGATACCTCACCAAGATAATGCATCGTATCACCAGTCAATGAAATGATAGGCAAAAATTCATGAATTGGGCCAGCGCTGATATCCGACATCACAATTTCCATCCTTCCGAATGATATCAAACGTTGGATTGTCAATTACGGCCAAAAATCCATACCGCAAGATCTACATGGGAATACCGCAAGGCGGTGGCCTATCCCCATTTTGTTAAATAATTATCTGGCGAAACTTCCCATTCATCACCGCCACCAACTTCTTCCGAGAGCGCAATCTAAAATTATCCACTGCAAAGTCCACTGTGCCACTTTTCCTGGACGCAACAAATCAATTTAGAAATTGTTATTTCAAACTACTCAAAATAATGCACTCCAAATCGCAAACGGATGACTCCAGATGATCGTCGATCACCTCCATGAGGAGACCGGGATGCTGTCAGTCAATCAACATTATGTGTTGTTGACTAGACAATTTCTGCTGCCATGCTATTTGCCATGTCACCCCAACCATCACACAGTAATGGCTGATCCGCCTCCGCGACACATCCGTTAGGACTTCAGGCGCTATCGTGAAGACGTCCAAGACGTCATTCCATCAGACGTCAGCAGATCGTACACAGCGGCTACATATGCAACAAAGTCCTACTCAAACATCCTCCTGTAATTTCGGCCTTCTTGCGGGTATAACAATGTTCTAAATTTGTATCGAGAGCACATTGTCTCCGGAATTCAAAATAGTTGTCGCTTCTGTCATCAAAGTCCCAACGACACACACACACAATCTATTCAATAGTCCATCCGAGTCTATTCTCCATACTTCAAATAATGTTCGATATTAAATTTTAGAAATTATATATTTAGAAGTTACGGGATCGCAATAATAATTCGTGCTGAAAATAAAAACAAATTCTGCCAAAAAACTATTGAATTATTATATTTATTTCGGTCATACAGGAGATATAAACTCTTCGGATGACGTGGGACAAATACTTGATACCATAACCAAAAATAGTTTTGCTAAAAACCCAACCTGTGTTTAATCGCGTTTAACAACTCTATATTCTTAACCACTTATCTCTTTAACTGTGAACAGTTGATAATGTGATTGATAATAATCTTCAAAATGGAGTAGATGTCAACAGATGTCAACTTATGAAAATTATTTATATGACTTTTTAAATTAAAACAAAAATAATTTACTATCGTAACGAAGTTAAAGTTAATATAGTATAGGACATATAACATAAATTTAAATGTACCTCGGGTAATAAATAATGTTTGTTTCCATGTACATTACTAAATTGTAGATTGCGGAAGATTTATTATCCATATATTTATTGTTATCTAAGTTGAGAGAAAATAGTGATAATTATGACAGTCTTAAATCAAGTTTATATTCATAGATAACTTGTAAACAAACACAATTAACTTATTGATTAATTTATTATTCCCACAAAATGACCACAACATTAAGCAATATATAAAAATTATAATAATATACAATTTCTAAAACATAATTTTAGGATCGTATTATGATTTTATAATAATTTATCGAAAGTACATAAAAAGTTGTTTTACATATTTTCTTTTTCAAATTATTTACAATATTATCACTTTATTTGTAGATGGTGAAAGAGAAGCCAAATTCAACGCGTATCTACGATAAGGATGGCTTTCGTAGACGTGCAGCCTGTATTTGTGTCCGTTCTGAAGCAGAAGCTGAGGTGAGTTTTGGCTAAAATAAATTTAAATCATTAAATGATGACGTTTTGTTTTGTAGGTCCTCTTAGTCACCTCTTCTCGACGTCCAGAACTTTGGATTGTGCCAGGAGGTGGCGTTGAACCAGAAGAAGAACCTTCGGTAACGGCTGTTCGAGAGGTGTTGGAGGAGGCCGGTGTTATGGGCAAATTGGGCAGATGTTTAGGGGTATTTGAGGTAAATTTAAAAATGTAATAATAGTTATTGGCTTTGACATTAGAGCAGTTGGTGGATTGGCCAACCAAGTCCTTTGTACGAGCTTTTGTTTTGGCCGATCCGGTCACGCCCTATGCTTCATTTGCGGTGATTGACGGTACACGCATCTATTTTCATCCAGAGATGCTCTCAAAGGTTCTGGTTGAGTAGAGATCCTTGGTTTCATTTTCTTTTTAGTAATAGAACTCTGCCCGGTGGGGCGTTAAATAGAGCCACCTTTGTTCGAGATGTATGAATTATTTTAATCCGATATCCTGATAGATTATGGAGAATTCTGGACGAATTTTAGATTCTTCTTTATATCTAGTTCTAGTATATGTTTTTGTTAGATGCTTCTTTAACTATTAATTACATATTTTACCAGTCATCCTCGTCCGTCAAAGGAGAATTTTCCCTGAGGTAAGTGGGAATGTTTCCCCGGTTAAGACGGAAAGTCCACACATTTGTCAATAAGATAGTGGAGAAGATCAAGGGGGTCAAGGTAATACGGGAAATAATGGTCCGTGATTGTTGGCGGTGGTCGATGTCTTTGAGGTTCTTGTTGTAGCAGCCCTATTGCATTTACACAATGGTCTGAGATGACTGAGGGATCGTAGAGCCCTCTGTCGTGGAAACCGATAATAGTGGTGGTTATTGTAACAGGTTGGCTGTTGGTGAAAGTTCTTTCCTGAAAATATTGATAGAAAACGGAACAAGGAAAAGGAAAATATATTAATTATTAATTAGGATTTGAAGAGAGTAGCCAGAGAAACTGTGCCACTTGTATTGGCTTTAGCCATAAGTCCATAAGCAATAGACTTGTAGTCTCCGGACAATTGAATATATGATGTGTGTCGTGAGGGCTTTGTTGGCAGGAGAGACACCAATTTAGGACTCGAGATGAGTTGAGAACATTGCTTTTTTAAGTAGAATTCTTTTTGCTTAGGAAGAAGTCTCTCACTGTCCGAAATTGCAGTAGGATTTTGGAGTAGGACTTTGTTACATCTGTACTTATTTATGTCTTCGGATTTCATTGCGTTCACTATCGACAATCTGTTGACATCCGATGGAATGACGTCTTGTATGCCATAACGATAGGGCCTGAAGTCCTGACGGATGTGTGAGCGGAGGTGTATCTGCCATTAATGTGTGATAGTTGGGATGACACGGCAGATAGCATGCCAGCAGGAACTTTCAAGTCAACAACACATTATGTTGCTTGACTGACAGCGTCCTGCTCTACTCATGTAGGTGATCGACGCACGTCGTCTGGACACAACCGGTTGCAATTCGGTGTGTGTCACTAAGGAAGAAGTCCAGACTGGGGCAGTACAATTAAGCATGGAGCGACCTATGATCTTATATGTCGTTACCAACGTATCTTTATCTTCGCCCCATGAGGTGCCAGCCAAAGCTTTATTCCTAGATATCATGTAGTTAGAATGCGAGGAGAAATGACGGAGGTTATCGAAGCTAACCCCAATGATTTTTGGATTACGGACGGTGGCGATGCGCCTACCTTCAGTCATCGGCGTACGACACCACTGAAACATCTTGTGGAGGAATGGAGAGTTTCGGAAGATACATGTTAAACAAAATGGGAGATAGTATTTTTGGTCATTAAGTTAGTTGGCAAGCCAACGCTTGATATCACTCGGAAGGGTGGAATATAGATTTATGTAAATTTTTTTATGAAAAGAACTTAGGAACTAAGCCATGACTTACTCATGTATCAACAAATATCTATTCGGATATAGTCTGTACTCTGATTGCAAACTTTTAAACACTAATGGACATAAGGTCGTCCAGATTTACTGAGGTCACTTTAGGCGGGAGGACCTAGGAACTTGTGTACAATTTATGTAGAATTCTTTTTGGGGAATTAAACTGAAATTTTTAGACATTATTTGCAATCGTCGTAAAACATAACAACCACACTGTGCTATAAGTAAAGTGATCTACCAATAGCTCATATTATATACAATTTACTTAGCCTATTGTTTTTCTTTCTGTTTCAGAATCAAGATCATATGCATCGTACAGAAGTTTTTGTTATGACCGTTACCAAAGAACTGGAAGAATGGGAAGATTCGCGCAGCATTGGCCGAAAACGTCAATGGTTTTCCATCGACGATGCCCTGACTCAGCTGGCTCTGCATAAACCGACACAACGACACTATCTAATGCAATTGCGACATTCGAAAAACAACTCAAACGTTAATTCAGCAACAAATTCTCCAACAACAGCAGAACCAACCTCAGCATAAACGTCATGCGTACATACCTCATTTTTTCAATTTTCTGAAACAAACACACACATACACACACAAGAACCATAAACTCCCCATGCTATGTTGTTTAAGTTTTCTTATTTTTGTATTTAATGGAAATCAACTTTTCGATGAGAACAATTTCATTACACACATGGTGATGACGATACGACGATATATATTTTTAGAGCTCCTCCTCGTCTCTTGTTTTCCTTTTCACCCAGAAGAAGTCACTTTATCTTCATTTAATAATTTTCTTTTGAACATCTATAGACTATGTAAGTTTATTTTGTAGAGAGTGAGTTTGTGTCTGCTGGCATCCTTGATCGTCTTTTGAAAGTTATACAATTACTTATTTATAGGATATATAATTATGTATGGGGGATATAACAGCAAAGAAATCTAACGAAATTTTATAACAAAATATTAGTTGATAATCTTTTTTATATATTAATTAAAAACAATTTGCTCTTTTTAAGCTTATTACACAATAATGTTATTGTTTGTTTCCAAATAATTTAAAGAAAACCAGCCCTCGCAGTTTGACCACATGTCTTGTCGAATGTAGTTCATGTTCATGCCATTTCTTAGTTTCATCTGCTAACTCACTCCTACGTTTAGTTTGCTATAAAAGAAAAATAATAAAGTTAATGTAACGTCTAACGTGACAAAACACTATCTCAATAGAAATACGGGGACTTTTTATAAAAAAATCAACAATTTTCAATTGTACGCCACGGATGAAAAAAGTTTAAAAATTTTCAAAAAAAAATTCTTTTAAATCATTGGAATTAAAAATAATTAGTCTAAGAAATATTGGATAATTTTAGGCAGAGTTTTAGATTCATTCGTAGCCTAATTGCTTCATGAAGGACTTGTAACAAACCGATAAATATCTTATGTGCATGCCCATAGCCTGGGCCAAACATAACGACCATTTTACAAATGAAAATTGTTGTATTCATACATTACGTTGCTTTGATAAAATACATGCTCCAGCACATCTTTGGTAACACCAAGTTGTTTATAATAAATTAAAACAAGCAGCAGCAGGTCCCTACAAACTCCTCCCAATGAAAATCCCACTTACATTATTAAATTATTTATAATTATTTCGAATTTGATTGCAAAGCAAACACAAAAACAAATAATAATTTATAATGTCTTAAAATAAATTGTACTTTAAACCAAAAACAAAAATATAAAAAGAACAATAATAACAAAAGAAGATCTAGAAATGAAAACAATGCCCTTTCCTAAAGTCAAGCTAAGCCAATAGTATTTCCCTAATCCTTCCACGGCCTTTAATCCCAAAAACAAAAAAAGCAAACATCCTATCACTTTTCCAATTTTAGGAAAGTCAACACAATTTTGGAAATGTAAAACAAATTTTTTAAGTAAAAACAAAACAAAAGAAAAAACAATTAATCTAATTTATGATAATAAATAAAACTAAGAAAACAAGAATAAATCTTACAAAAATAAAACAGTTTTTTGCACTTCTTTTTTCTACGGCTAATTTTTTTGTATAAGTTTTATTAAAAAAAAGCACTCTCCCCCCAAAAAATAATACCAGAAAACTGTTAAATATAATAAATTATTAGAATTAAACTAAGTATAAAAAAACAACAACAATAAATTATAAATATAATTTTTAGTGAGACTAAATTCATTGAAACAGAAACGATATACAAAAATTCACATTCGTAAAACATTTCGCTCTGGCTTTGTATGTAAAGATGATGACAAATGTAAAAAATAGAAAACCAAGTTAATTCATGTTGAAAATATACATTAAAAATGCATCTGGTCTTCAAAAAAGCGTCTAATGTTTTGTTTTTACTAGGGACATGTGAAATGGAAAAAAATAACAAGTGAAAAAGCGGCAAGTTCGGCCGGGCCGAACTTTGGATACCCTCCACCATAGTTATATTGACAGGTACTATAAATGAAAATATAGGAAACATACCAAAAAGTGGACCTATACCGACATTTCTAAAAACGGATTATGTAAACCATAATACAAATTTTAGAAAATTTTAAAGGATAATTATACCCTCAGCCTTATGGCTAATGAGGGTGTATACACTTTAACACGATGAAAATGTGCCTCATCGAAATATTGGTTCTAGACCCCATGTCTCTTTGGACCAAATCCGTTTCAGAAAATTTAGATTTCATCCGAACTTTGCCCATCTTATTATTTCTTCCAAGCTTAGTTCAAATTCGAAGATGGGGAATATCGGTCCAATCCTTCTGGAACCTCCAATCAGGGGCTAGGTCTAAATGCGGCTATAGTTCACTACCGAACCTTACGTTCTAATTTTTTATCTCTCTCCGCAGTTGAAATGATTACAAAAGGGTCTTAGAACCAAACCCAAAACGCGCAACAAATCAGATAACTATTTTAATATAAAAAAAGGGGTTATATGGGGACTACCCCAAAAAGGGGGTGAATATTAATAATTTTTGGTAGGGAGATTTGTTACCATATACGACTACAAAATACCAAATTGCAGCAAATTCGGTTGAAAAACGCGCTCAAGAACCCCAAAATACCGAAAATTGGGGGTACCCTTATATGGGGGCTATCCGAAAAATGGACCTATATTCATAATATTTTGTGGAGAGATTTGGAAACTATTAAGAACTCAATGTACCAAATTTCAGCGTATTCGGTAAAAAAACGCGCTCAAGAACCCCAAAATACCGAAAATTGGGGGGTACCCGTATATGGGGGATATCGGAAAAAATTGACCTATATTTATAATTTTTTTGTGGAGAGATTTTGTACCTATTAAGAACCCAATGTATTAAATTTCAGCGTATTCGGTTGAAAAACGCGCTCAAGAACCCTAAAATACCGAAAATTTGGGGTACCCTTATATGGGGGCTATCCGAAAAAATGTGCCTATTCGGTGGAAAAATACGATCTAAATCCCCAAAATACTGAAAATTAGGAAGTACCGTTATATGGGGGCTACCAGAAAAAGTGGACCTATATTTATAATTTTTGTGGAGACATTTAGTACCCCATAAGAACTCAATGTACCAATTTTCCGCGTATTCGGTTGAAAAACGAGCTCAAGAACCCCAAAATACCGTAAATTGGGAGGTACTGTTATATGAGAGCTATACCTAAACGTGGACCGATATATCCCATCTTCGAACTTGACATGCCTGCAGGCAAAAGACAACCCTATGCAAAATTTCAGCACCCTATCTCAATTCCTTCAGAAGATAGCGTGATTACAACAGACGAACGGACGGACAGACGGACGGACGGACATGGCTAGATCGTCTTAGAATTTTACCCTGATCAAGAATATATATACTTTATAGGGTCGGAAATGAATATTTCGATGAGTTACAAACGGAATGACAAAATTAATATACCCTCCATACTATGGTGGAGGGTATAAAGAGGGGGTTATATGGGGACTACCCCTAAAAAGGCGTGAATGTTAATAATTTTTGGTGGGGAGATTTAAGAACCTCAAAATATTGAAAATTGCGGCCAGAAGGCCGGAATATTTTTGCAATATGTGAGAAAATATCGATTGATATTGGCATATAATATATCAAATCGATTGTTCGAGTAATGCAGAATATATTTTATCAAAAAATATATCAGTCACAACAGAACGAACAGAGATCAACGCCTATGTTTTTTTATTTTATCTGTAAATGATTTTATCGGTGCTTAGTTTACATAATTTAACTAATTTAAGGAGCTTTTTTAAAAAATATTTAAAAAAAATGCACTGAAGTAAAAATTCACACAATGTTTTAATTATATGGCCACTTCAAAGTCGATGTATTTTCATGAAAACCGTTATTTATGGAAAAATTGCATGCAATAATTTTCTATTTTCACACTAAATTTCTTAAGTGCAGTATATCGAAGTGTTCTGAATTAAAAAATGTTCAAAAATACTTCAAACGAATCGAGGGCTGATCAAAAAATGTTTTCCACAGTAAATGTTTTAATTACGTGACCAACACTGTATGTGGGAGCTGCAAGGGTTTCCAAAACTAAAGCAACTGAAATTGCAAACGGAATAAATGGCCAGTAAAATTTTTTTAAATATAAACGTATAGTAATATTTTTTTCAGAAAAAATAGGTAATTTAGTCTGGGTTTATACATGCAATTTTTGTATGAAACTCTGCTGAGTTCCATGGCATAATTACAAAAGGTAGTCTCATATGAGAGTTTTATGATGGCAACCTTTTTTAATTTGGAACTAATCTAACAATTTTAAATAATATGAAAAATAAATTCCATAAAATTGTATGTATATCGATTGGCATATTTTCAATAAATTAAACAAAATGTATATTCTATAGCTGAGCATTGCTCTCAAGATTTAACCATGGTTGTTACATTTTACATTTATAAGTTTTAGAGGCAGAGAACATCAACATATTTATTAATATAAATTATTTGGCAATTTTTGCCACTGAACACTTGAAATGCGTACATTTTGAATGAAGATATTTTCATTTAAATTTTGAAAGCTGAATACTGTCAAAGGAATATTTATGAAAAAATTGGAAAGACATGGCTGCATGAGACTACATTGTATAATTATGCCATGGCTGAGTTGTTAGAAGTTAGAGGTATAAGAAGTGACAAGTGGGGAAGAAATTCAAAAGAGAATCGTAGAGAGCAGCAGCAGAGTTGTTTAAAAAAGTTGCATGTATAAACCCAGATTTATTCACTTAAAAAAAAAAAACAAAAAAATATAAACTCAAAATATATTTTGAAATAAAAAAAAATATTATATGCAAAACTAATTTGACTCAATTTTTGGCTGGTCAAAACTAAAGCAACTTTTTGAGTTTTTTTTATTACGGCAGCGCACCTACGAGCCATTGCATCTATAATAATACCATTATACCAGTAACATTATTAACCCACCTCCATCATTCGCAGTTCCCTTGCAATACATCTTCTCGCGGTATTTTTTTTCGTGTCTGAGCCATTAATATTAAACTTAAATTCATCCGAGAACATAATATTTCTGCATTGAGTCCGGCTCCAATTAATATGAGCTTTTGTGAAACTTAAATATGGCTTTGCGACTTTTTCAGGAATAAACGGCCTTTCTTCATTGCTCAGCTACCATAGGTCTTTCGCGTTCTGGTCTTGACTTTATATCCAATGATTACCCTTGCACCAACTTCGTTGAATACTTAAATGGGTATTTTATACTTCTGCGTCAATTTGTTGGTACGAAGTGATAGTACGAAGTGATATTCTTTGACAGCCTTCCTTCGTGATGAACTGTGATTTTTATACCCCCCACCATAGTATGGAGGGTATATTAATTTTGTTTTTCCGTTTGTAACTCATCGAAATAATTTCTGACCCTATAAAGTTTATATCTATTCTTGATATACGTAAAATTCTATGACGATATAGCCATGTCAGTTTGTCCGTCTTTCTGTTGTAATCGCTCTAGCCTCTAAACGAATTGAGATAGATCGCCAAAATTTTGCATAGAGTCGACTTTTGTGTGCAGGCAGGTCAAGTTCGACGATGGGCTTTATCGGTCCACGTTTAGGCATAGTCCCATATAAGGGTACCCCCCAAATATCAGTATTTTGGGGTTCTTGAGCGCGTTTTTCAGCCGAATTTTCTGCAATTTGGTATTTTGTAGTCGTATATGGTAACAAATCTCCCTACCAAAAATTATTAATATTCGCCCCCTTTTTCGGTAGTCCCCATATAACCCCATTTTTATACCCTCCACCATAGTATGGAGGGTATATTAATTTTGTCATTCCGTTTGTAACTCATCGAAATATTCATTTCCGTCTGTTGTAATCACGCTATCTTCTGAAGGAATTGAGATAGGGTTGTCTGCAGGCAGGTCAAGTTCGAGGATGGGAAATATCGGTCCACGTTTAGGCATAGCTCCCATATAAGGGTACTCCCCAATTTTCGGTATTTTGGTGTTCTTGAGTGCGTTTTTAAACCGAATTCGCTGAAATTTGGTACATTGGGTTCTTATTGGGTACTAAATGTCTCCACAAAAAATTATAAATATATGTCCACTTTTTCTGGTAGCCCCCATACAACGGTACCTCCGAATTTTCAGTATTTTGGGGTTGATCGTAGTTTTCCACCGAATTGGCTGTAATATTGTATTTTGAGTTCTTAAAAGGTTCCAAATCTCTCCACAAATAATTATGAATATGGGCCCACTTTTTCGGGTAGCCCCCATTGGGGTTCTTGAGCGCGGTTTTCAACCGAATTCGCTGAAATTTGGTACATTAGGTTCTTATAGGGTACTAAATGTCTCCACAAAAAAATTATAAATATAAGTCCACTTTTTCTGGTAGCCCCCACATAAAGGTACCTCCGAATTTTTAGTATTTTGGGGGTTTTGATCGTATTTTTCCACCGAATTAGCTGTAATTTTGTATTTTGAGTTCTTAATAGGTTCCAAATCTCTTCACAAAATATTATGAATATGGGTCCCCCCAATTTTCGGTATTTTGGGGTTCTTGAGCGCGTTTTTCAACCGAATTAGCTGCAATTTGGTATTTTGTAGTCGTATATGGAAACAAATCTCCCTACCAAAAAAATTTTAATAATCGCCCCCTTTTTGGGGTAGTCCCCATATAACCCCTTTTTTATATTAAAATGGTTATCTAATTTGTTCCGCGTTTTGGGTTTGTTTCTAAGACTCTGTTGTAATCATTTCATCTGCGGAGGATATCGAGATAAAAAACTAGAACGTAAGGTTCGATAATGAACTATAGCCCGGATTTAGGCCTAGCACCTGTGTTGGACGTAGCAGAAGGAGTGGACCGATATTCACCATCTTCGAACATGAACTAAGTATGGAAGAAATAATAAGATAGGCAAAGTTGGGATGAAATCAAAATTTTCTGAAACGGATTTGGTCCAAAGAAACGTGGGGTCTAGAACAAATATTTCGATGAGGCACATTCTGACTGTATCAATGTGTATACATTCTCATTAGCCATATGGCTGAGGGTATAAATATCCATTAAAAATTGCTGAAATTTGTATTTGGTGTACATTATGGTTTACATAATCAGTTTGTAAAAAGGTTACTTTTTCTTCCCTATATTTTAATTTCAAGTACCTGTCAGTATATCTATGGTGGAGGGTATCCAAAGTTCGGCCCGGCCGAACTTAACGCTTTTTCACTTGTTTATATTAAAATAGTTATCTGATTTGTTACTCGTTTTGAGTTTGGTTCTAAGACTCTATTGTAATCATTTCACCTGCGGAGGATAGTGAGATAAAAAAATTAGCCGTAAGGCTGAGGGTATAATTATCCATTAAATATTTCTGAAATTTGTATTATGGTTTACATAATCCGTTTTTAGAAATGTCGGTATAGTCCACTTTTTGATATGTTCCCTATATTTTATTTTCTAGTACCTGTCAGTATATTTATGGCTTTTTAAGTTAATAAAGTGCCCGATTTAAAACCAACACGATATGTTTATTCTTGAAAAAGTTATCCGGCATTTTAGACAATAGAGTAGATCTTAATATGAACCGATATCAACGAAACTTAGCACACATCATTCGGGGCTTAATTCAATAAGTTATGCACAATTTCGTATAAATCGAAAGGAATATAGGGTCTTTGACGCACAAAACTTCACATAGGGCAATCTATACCAATTCAGTATACCGTGTGAAATTTTGTGTCAATCGGTCAAACATTGTGACTTGTGAGCCATTGTGAAATCGGACAAATCTATATATGGAAGCAATATCAAAATCTTAATTTTTTTTTTCAATTTCAACAGGGTACGCGCTTGGGCAAAATAAATGGACTGTGCCAAATTGAATCTCATTCGGATCATAAATGCGGCCAGTACTTTGTTTAAAATTTAACATGGACAACGACGGTCGGACATGTATAAATCGTCTCAGAAAATGATCTCGTTTCCTTTTGCATGTTGCAATCATATGTACAAAGACATAATACCCTGTAACAAAGAGTGGTGAAGGGTATAAAAAGGGTTATAAGGGGACTCCCCCAAAAGAGGCCGAATATTAATAATTTTTGGTTGGGAGATTTGTTACCATATTCGAATCCAAAATATCAGAAACCCCAGATTACTGAGAATATGGGTTAATGATATATGGGTCCTACCGAAAAATTTCGACCAATATTGATAATTTTTGGAGGAAGATTTGATATCCAATTAGAACCAAACATTACAGTCAATTATAATACTCAATATAGTACAAATTAATAAAACCCTCAGCAGATATATTTAATGATTTATATTATTTTATTTTTAATATTACTGCATAATACTGTTCTATTTTACTTATAATAGCCGTTAAAAAAGATGAGCATTAAGAGTAAACATTTGTTTTAGTTGCACTATACTAAACCTATTTAAAATATATTAAGGAGGGTTTTCAATATTCTTCTTAGAATTATAAAGTATTTTGCGATAAAGTAGATAACAACAATAGTGTTGCCGTTGTTGTTTTTGTTAATTGATTGAATGCAGGCGAGATGGGAAAAGGAGTATTCGTATGGCTTTGAGCCAACTCCTTGGCCATTCTTCACCTTCGCTCTCTTTCTAAAGGAATGTCTGTCGGTTTATTTTGAATTATTGCTCTTTAGTTGTCACTTGTTGCCATTTTCAATTCACTTTTTTAATTACTGCCAACTACCGCCTCCTTTCCTTCAACTTTGTGCAAACGTTTCATTTCATTGTACAATCGTAAAGCCAACTCCGTGTTTGGAGCATACAGTCTGCCCGGCACATGCAGATTGTTAAACTTGGATGGGTCTATGCAATTTTTAACCATTTTCATTAAAGTCTTGGGTGTTTTAGCCGATGCCAATAGCCCGGGAAAGAGGCCACCTCCTTTGAGAATTTTATCACAAAATATTTGCAAATTATTGTTTTGTTGAATGCCGCTGCATGTGGATGTTTTTGCATCACATTTGCCCATACAATAGTGATAGTTACAATCAGCATCCTCCTCACAGGTTGAACCATCCGATAGACGTTTATCGATTTTCGTCTCCACATAAACATGTTCGGCATTTTCATATTTGATTCTGAAACGACAAGAAAGTAAGTAATATTTTATTCATATTAAATAAACAATGTGAAACATTCAAAATCTGCATTAAATAAAAATTTCTAGATAATTAAAAAAAACATATTCTTATTTAAGGCGTTTTAAATATGTATGACACATAGCGATTTTCACCATTTCATTGTTGACATTAAATCTAAACAAGTAAAAAAGGTTTAAGTTCGGCCGGACCGAACTTTAGATACCCTCCACCATACTGACAGGTACTAGAAATGAAAATATAGGGAACATATCAAAAAGTGGACCATACTGACATTTCTAAAAACAGATTATGTAAACCATAATACAAATACCACAAATTTGTAATGGATAATTATAACCTCAGCCTCATGGCTAATGAGGGTGTATACACTTTAACACGGTGAAAATGTGCCTCATCGAAATATTGGTTCTAGACCCCATGATTCTTTGGACCAAATCTGTTTCGGAAAATTTAGTTTTCATCAAAACTTTGCCCATCTTATTATTTCCTCCAAACTTAGTTCAAATTCAAAGATGGGGAATATCGATCCACTCCTTCTGGAACCTCCACACAGGGTTCATTATCGAACCTTACGTTGTAATTTTTTATCTCGAGTCATAGAACCAAACTCAAAACGCGTAACAAATCAGATAACTATTTTAATATAAAAAAGTTGGTGCAATGGGGACTACCCCAAAAAGGGGGCGAATATTAATAATTTTTGATAGGGAGATTTGTTACCATTTAAGACTACAAAATACCAAATTGCAGGAAATTCGGTTGAAAAACCCGCTCAAGAACCCTAAAATACCCAAAAATGGGGGTACCCTTATATGGAGCCTATCCGAAAAAATGTACCTATATTCATATTTTTTTTGTGGAGAGATTTCGTACCTATTAAACTCAAAATACTAAATTACAGCTAATTCAGCGGAAAAATACGATAAAAACGCCCAAAATACTGAAAATTAGGAGGTACCGTTATATAGGGGCTACCAGAAAAAGTGGACCTATATTTAAAATTTTTTGTGGAGACATTTAGTTCGTAATAAGAACCCAATGTAGTAAATTTCAGCGATTTCGGTTGAAAAACGAAAATTGGGGGGGGGGGGTGGTTTCTTATATGGGAGCTATGTCTAAACGTGGACCGATATATCCCATCTTCGTGCCTGCAGACAAAAGACAACCTATACAAAATTTCAGCACCCTATCTCAATTCCTTCAGAAGATAGTGTGATTACAACAGACGGACGGACATGGTTAGATCGTCTTAGAATTGTATACTGATCAAGAACATATATACTTTATAGGGTCGGAAATGAATATTTCGATAAGTTACAAACGGAATGACAAAATAAATATACCCTCCATACTATGGTGGAGGGTATAAAAATGATATAAACTCACCTTTTATCTGCCGTCACTCCAAAATTACTTATTTTCATTTTGCACATTCTCAACGGTTCCGGTTTCATTTCATCCATTTTAAAGACAAATTCCATAAGACTCAAAGCATATTTAAGTCGTTTTTGCCAATCCGATGATCTAGAATTAAAATTTAAATTAAAATATTGAGAATCTTAGAAGACTCTGGAGATAGCCCAAACTTACATGTATTGCAAAAGGCTCTGTTCCGTTTTTAAAATATTCAAACTTTCTGTTGCATAGTAGGGACCACATGAACCCAAGACCGTTGGAAATAGACTATCTTCGTCGTACAGTTTACTCATCATATAATTATTGTCCTTAAATAGGCGCCAGAAATTTAACATTTGTTGTGGATTGTTTTTGTCAATTTCCTGATTGACCAAAGCTTTAATCTGAAACAATTTAAATTATTCAATAATTATTAATTAATTTTTTTAACATTATATCATCATAAAAACAAGTAAAACCGAACTTGTTGCACCCCCCATCATGTGGTGTGCATGAAATTTATTAAATCGGGACATTTATATGGTGACTATGCGGTGGTATTTATTCCAAATTACAGGAACTCAGGATGGAACAGTAAAACTTAAACGGGATTTGTGCTGTTTTAAAACATTAACCTATATTGAATAATTTGTGGGAGGACAATTTTTATTCATCAAATTATAGCCACTTCGCTCTATGTGCCAGTAATCCCTTTTTTTTGCAAAAAGTCCATCTTGGGACTTTGAGCATTACATTCAAAGTCGAAATTTCATAAAATAGTATACAGATGAAACAGGTGATTATAATGTAAGTAATATAATTAAGAAGGCAGTACGGAAAGTAGTAAGGTCGGGCTGGGCCGACTATATGATACCCTTCACCACTTTGGGTATTTAGAAGATGTATCCTAAAAAACACCGCGTTTATGAAGGATTTTTCACAAGAAATTGAACTAAATTAAATATGTGAACCGAATAACATCAATCCATTAACATGCATCTCTTTAAACGATGTTAAATTACATTGGGACCGATTTAGAGTCGTATGTGTATTATGGGACATGTTTATTCTAGTCTCAATTTGATACGTTGTACAAAATGTTCGTGTCAATTGGACAAACATTAGGAATTTGGTGCAACATTTACATAAAATCGGACGAAAATATATATGCGGGAGTCCAAATCTGAACCGATATCAACGAAACTTGCCACAGATTAATTTCTGTACATTGTACACAATTGTGTGACAATCGGAAAAAATTTGGGCCTTTAGTGCATCTAATTCAGAAACTATTTTCACGAAACCTTACGCACATCATTGTAGACTTAATTCAGTACGCTATGCCAAATTTCGTGCAAATCGAAATATGTATAGGGACTTTGGTGCACCATTTACATTAAATCGGACGAAAATATATATGGAAGCTATATCTAAATCTGAACCGATTTTCACGAAACTTAACGCATATTATTGTAGACTTAATTCAGTATTCCATGCGGGGTGTATCATTTACATTAAATCCGCTCATAGCCAGCTCCCCGATCATAACTAGCTCCATACTAATAACCACTAACTACTAACCGAACCCTGAAAACCCCGAACCTGCCGACCAACAACGTGCCGACTGTATCCTGCCGATCACCAACGAGCCGACAGTAGCCAGCCGATCTTCAACGAGCCGACATCAGCTAGCCGAGTATCTTCGAGCCGACTGTATCCTGCCGATCACCAACGTGCCGACGGTAGCCAGCCGATCTTCAACGAGCCGACATCAGCTAGCCGAGTATCTTCGAGCCGACTGTATCCTGCCGATCACCAACGAGCCGACGGTAGCCAGCCGATCTTCAACAAGCCGACATCAGCAGCCGAGTATCTTCGAGCCGACTGTATCCTGCCGATCACCAACGTGCCGACGGTAGCCAGCCGATCTTCAACGAGCCGACATCAGCTAGCCGAGTATCTTCGAGCCGACTGTATCCTGCCGATCACCAACGAGCCGACGGTAGCCAGCCGATCTTCAACGAGCCGACATCAGCTAGCCGAGTATCTTCGAGCCGACTGTATCCTGCCGATCACCAACGTGCCGACGGTAGCCAGCCGATCTTCAAAGAGCCGACATCAGCTAGCCGAGTATCTTCGAGCAGACTGTATCCTGCCGATCACCAACGAGCCGACATCAGCTAGCCGAGTATCTTCGAGCCGACTGTATCCTGCCGATCACCAACGAGCCGACGGTAGCCAGACGACATCAGCAAGCCGAGTATCTTCGAGCCGACTGTAGCCAGCCGATCTTCAACGAGCCGACATCAGCTAGCCGAGTATCTTCGATCCGACAGTAGCCAGCCGATCACCAACGAGCTGACGGTAGCCAGCCGATCTTCAACCAGCCGACATCAGCTAGCCGAGTATCTTCGAGCCGACTGTAGCCAGCCGATCTTCAACGAGCCGACATCAGCTAGCTGAGTAACTTCGAGCCGACTGTAGCCAGTCATACACCTTTGAGCCAACCACAACAAACCCGAATACCAACCAGCCGATTAGTTACGAGCCGACACCACTTAACCACCCCCGAGCCGACTGTAACCAGCCGGCTATTCACGATCCGACCTTCATACCCAGCTACCATTACCGATTAGAAGATTCCAACATAAAAGCTTATCTCACATCCAAACTGTTATTCATATTGTAAACACCAGAGAGAGTATTATAATAAAGATTGAAATTGTAATCACTCATGTTTTTACTTAAGGTCCTTAGGTTGACCCTGGCAGCGACTGAGCTTACTTCAGCCTTAGTTAAAACCACTCGTTATAAGTCACTTTGTGTGAGTGACTCATGGGTGGTGTTTTTTGCATTCATGCAGATGTCTATATGGGAGCTATATCTAAATCTGAACCGAGGGAGGGACATGCATAAATCGACTCAGAAAGTGTTTCTTTATCATATTCTCAGAATGAACCATGTGTTTATCTCGTTTCCTTTTGCCTGTTACAAAAATAAACACAAAAAATATTACCCTGTACCACAGTGTGGTGAAGGGTATAAAAATGGCTAGAAACAAATACAGTACGGTACAAAATACAGTACTATTGATTATGTAAAAATGTATGACAAAATATAATTTGGACAATTATTCTATAAATAAATAACTTCAGTTCGTACTGACCAACAAATTGTCATAGCAGTAAAGAACTACCTCTTTAAGACCTCAAAGGAAGAGAAAGTGTTATCGTTGGAAATAACCTTAAGAACGGAGCGTGCTATGGTAGCAGGTTAACTATCAAGAACGGAGCGTGGACGAGCTATGGTAGCAGGTCAACTATAAAGAAAATTCGGAAAAAATAGGAAAGCCATATTGGCTTCCGCAAAAGTATATTATGCTCTCAGATGAATTAAAATTAAATATTTAAAGCTCGGACAATTACAGTGAGAAGATCAAATAAATCGAGGATCAAATCTCAGTATTGCAAGGGTACTTGGAAGAATGGTGGAGGGTCAATAATGGTATGGGGATGTTTTACTTTTTATGGAGTTCGATATATTTACGAGATTTATGATATAATAGATCGGACTGTTTATACAAATGTGTTGGAAAACGCTACAGTCCCCTCAGCTGAACAAAATAAATATATCTCTTGACTCAGCAATTATAGGTGTGCTACCGTAATCATAACTAATGTTTATGCTGTCGATTACTAGCAAAATTTACTTATTTATAAGAAAAAAAATCAAAAAGTTGATTTAGTTTTGACCAAGCAAAAATTAGGACAATTTAGTTTTCCATAGAAATTTTTTCATTTCAAAACATGCCAGCCTTCGAGAATTGTTTATATTTTGGTATAAATGTGGCTAATGCCTTCAAAATGCCTAAAATTAGTCGGTACAATTATATCTTAGCCATACCAAAACATAACATTTGATTATTTTTGGTAAGTAAATTTGACACCTCATGAGAACCTGAAAAATTAGCTTAGAACCAATTGGATTAAAAATGTGCCGAAATTTAGCATGTAGCTTCAAAATATCGAATATGTGGGGTACAGTTATATGGGGGCTACCACGAAATAAGGGACAATATTGATAATTACACTGTGCGACACGAAAATTATTCAGGGGTTCTAATGTACCAATTCTGTTTAGTTGGAGTCCCTGGACCACGAAAATACCCTTGGTTTTTCTGGGTCACTTCGAAAACTAGTTTCATAACGGTAAATGTAGCGAAAGACATGGTTTCATAAAAAATCGATTACTTATACACATTTTTGTAGTGTTTCATAATCTGTATAATCTCTAAAGGTACTATGGGTCTATCTCGTTTCCTTTTGCCTTTTACAAACATAACAGTTTATAACAGGAATTGTTTAAAATGTTTTTTCGTCATTATTGCATTTGTTCTCTAGGCATTGGACTTTTATTTTTCAAAAAAGAATGTACTACATTTTTTTAGGCAATACATCTCATCTCGCTTCAGCAAAATATTCCCCTTAATTGATTTAATGTTGCGTCTTTTAATGTTTCTCTGTTCTTCACTTACCATATTATCATCCAAAGTGACATTGTAGGTGAGGGTAATGTGCATTTTAACAATGTGATGGAAATTTTCAATTTTTGGATACACCTGCAGGCCACGACTATTTATCCAACTTAGATCATCCTTAATGTGGCGGGCAAGCTAAAAGAAATAAATTACTTGTCACTGATTTATTTCACTTGAAGTCGAATCACCAACACCAACCTTAACAGCATAGACATCACCGTTTTTCTCCGCTGTGAACATAATAGTGCCCATATCAGTTTGGGGACATTTAAACGACTTAAAGGATTGTTCGTTGGCACACAGCTCTTCGCACAGCGTACCGCTGTATTCATAATTTTTATATTTCTTACACTGGAAAAATAAGGATAATTATTTGTATTTTCTCCAAATAGCTCGTCTATCTTACCATATAGGTGAGACTATTCTGTGACATAATTTTGTAACAAAATTCTAAATTCATGTAGGATACAATTAGCATAAAAATGGCCGCCAGTATGGCCAAAAGGATACAACGTTGTAAAATCGTTCGAAATTTTCTCTTGAAGGCATGCAACATTTTGTTTGTCGAATATTCTGTGGCTGGCTGCTATTTAAAATGCTATTCGAATTTATTTTGATTCGTTTTAATTTAGTTCTTAAATTTTAACACAATTATTAGCCTATTCCTTTTGTTCATTACGCCTTCTTCTGTGTATTCTAATTGGTGTGTTACGTTTGCTGCCTGGCTGTTTTGCTTTCTCTGTTTTGGTCCAAACAAAAGGAATAGTTTTTCAGCTGTTATGTTTTGATTCTCTGGTCCTCCTCGTGTTGTGGGTGCTTTGTTTTTGGTCATATCCTTTGCATACTATATTATGTTTACGTTTACAAATGAGTAGCGGCAATGTCCGGGAAATCGCAACCAAAAGGATATGTTACGATTCGGCGCATTACATTTTTATCAAACAGTGATGGATATATAAATGTGTATAGTGAAATTTCGCAAAATTTTTTGACTGTTACGGGTTTAGTCATTTTAAACGTACTGATTAGAATCGAAAATATACTGGAAATAAGTAGAATAACTATGAGGAGACCACAGTGGAACCAGCAATTTGGAAAATATTTTTAATCGAGTGATTCTGTTATTTGATGGACAAAACAGCATAACAAATCATGATAAACCAGTTAATAAATCACCAAAGACGGATGGTACCAACTTGATGACGTACTACACCACTTTGGTTATATGCAAGGGGTTCAATGGAGCCATGACTTAATCTTAATTGATTCTCAGCAAGTTACTTCACTTCAAGGACACAAGTCAGACATTCATAAATGCACACAAAAAGGAACCGAAGTCGGACCTTTTTATACCCTTCACCACACTGTGGTACAGGGTATTATGTCTTTGTGCATATGTTTGTAACAGGCAAAAATAATCGAGATAGACCCATGGTTCCTTTTGAGAATATGCATAGAATCACTTTCTAAGTCGATTTATGCATGTCCGTCCGTCCTTCTGTCTGTCTGTCCATGTTAAATTGTAAACAAAGTACAAGTCGCATTTATGATCCGAATTGGATGAAATTTGCCACAGTTCATTTGTTTGGCCCAAGGACGAACCTTATTGAAATTGGGAAAAATCGGTTCAGATTTAGATATAGCTTCCATATATATATTCGTCCGATTTAAGGTAAATGGTGCACCAAAGTCCCTATATATCTTTCCATTTGCACGAAATTTGGCACAGCGTAATGAATAAGGTCACGAATGATGTGCGCAAAGTTTCGCGAAAATCGGTTCAGATTTAGATATAGCTCCCATATATATGTTCGTCCGATTTATGGTAAATGGTGCACCAAAGTCCCTATATATCTTTCGATTTACACAATTTGGCACAACGTACTAAATTAAGTCTAGAATGATATGTGCAAAGTTTCGTGAAAGTCGGTTCAGATTTAGATATAGGTCCCATAAATAGCTTCGCCCGATTTTAGGTAAATATTCCACTAAAGTTCTTGGAAATCTTTTGACTTGCACGAAATTTGGCACAGCGTAATGCATAAGGTCTAGAATGATGTGTGCAAAGTTTCGTGAAAATCGGTTCAGATTTAGATATAGCTCCCATATATATCTTCCTCCGATTTAAGGTTAATTGTGTACCAAAGTCCCTATATATCATTCGATTTGCACGAAATTTGGCACAGTGTACTAAATTAGGTATAGAATGATATATGAAAAGTTTCGTGAAAATCGGTTCAGATTTAGATATAGCTCCCATATATAGCTTCGCCCGATTTTAGGTAAATAGACCACTAAAGTCCCTGGAAAACTTTTGATGGGCACGAAATTTGGCACAGAGTTATGAATAAGATGGAGAAGGATGTCTGCCAAGTTTCGTGAAAATCGGTTCAGATTTAGATATAGCTCCATATGTATTTTCATCCGATTTAACCCTTTGTGGCCCAATGTTGCCCACAGGCAACAAAATGTTGTAGAGCTTATATTTTATATGCAACTAGTAGATAAGTATTATTTGGATTTCATATGTGAAGACCTAATTATGGACGACACAAATCAAAAGAAAATTCAAAAAAATTCAAAAATTTGGTAAAGTTATGAGCTTTTCAATATAGAGAAGAGGGTAAATTTGTGTACAGTACTAATTTGTGTATACAGTCCAAATTATTTAAATCGCTTCGTATTCAATATGTACAAATTCTACCCTCAGAATTATTTTTGATTCTTGTAAAATTGAATACAGAGAATAATTTAAAATGATTTTTCTGACGATTTTGCATTTGGTTTTCTTGATATTGGTTTTTATTTTTTCCGAAAGAATGTACTGTATCTCCCAAATGCAAGGATATATCGATGTCAAATTTTGTGCCTATCCTATTTAGAATAGTTGCATTAAATCTGTGAACAGAAATTTGTCCTAAGATTGCGGGAAAAAATTCGGGGCTCAAAGGGTTAAGGTAATTGGTGCACCAAAGACCCTATATATCTTTCGATTTGCACGAATTTTGGTATAGGGTACTGAATTAAGTCAAGAATGATGTTGCTAAGCTTCGTGAAAAGATCCATAGCTAGGCCGATTGACACATCGTACTGATGTTATATAAATTAGTCTCTGGCAAGTTTCCCTGAAAACGGTTCAGATATAGATTTATAACAAAACGCGTCGTCTGTTAGGATACATATGTAAAATATACCCAAAGTGGTGAAGGGTATCATATAGTCGGCCCAGTCCGACTTTACTGCTTTCCTTACTGGTTTATAACGAAAAACTCTAAATTATTCAGAGCCCATTTTTGGGGAAAATTAAAAGATTTCCTTTTCCCCTACTGTCACGACTTCTACTGTAATGAGTAATGGACGGGGTTATAATATAGGGGATATACCGGTAGTACAAAATGAAAAAATTCGCTGTTGCAAACATAAATTTACTGTGAAAAAATTCATTTCGCGTACGTCTCTGGTACAGAGTATTATGTCTTTGTGCCTATGTTTGCAACAGGAAGAATCACTTTCTGAGTCGATTTATGCATGTCCATGTATTTTTGTGAGCAAAGTACAGGTCGCATTTATGATCCGAATTGGATGAAATTTGGCACAGCACATTTATTTGGCTCAAGGAGAAATTTGAGAAAATCGGTTCAGATTTATATATAGCTCCCATATATATGTAATGTAAATGGTGTACCGAATAACTATAATTTATCCGATAATAAAGGTTTCTCCTAGCGCGATAAAATTGTGCACATCGTACTGTGCTACATCACAGTACCAAATGGTGTATGTCACTGTTGCTCAATTGAGTCCAGTTTTACATATAGCGTACATAATTTAGTTCGATTTCATACAAAAGATACACCAAAGAATCGAAGTCTGCCAGATTGACATGCAATTTTTCATAAATTTCAGAATGGTATGTGTATGGAAGGGTATTATATAATCTGCCCGTCTGACTTTTTGACTTTACGTACTGGTTTTTAATAGAGAGATTTTGTACCCTATGATCATCCGAAAGATGTAGACCAAAATTGATTCTTTTTGTTAGGGGGTTTGGTTCCCAATAAGAACTATGTGGGGACTGTGCCTAAACGTCCTTGAAACCTTTGAGCCGCGAATTTTTTACGCGATGTTAGAACAAATTGCTGTTCACAGATTTAATGCAACTATCCTAAATAGGATATGCACAAAATTTGACATCGATATATCCTTGCATTCGGGAGATACAGTACATTCTTTCGGAAAAATTTAAGTCCAATATCAAGAAAACCAAATGCAAAATCGACATAAGAATCATTTTAGATTATTCTCTATATTCAATTTTACAAGAATCAAAAATAATTCTGATGGCAGAATTCGTACAATTCGAATACGAAGCGATTTATATAATTTGGACTGTATACACAAACTAGTACTGTATATAAAGTATAAAAACTCCAAATTTTAATAATGCCAGGTAATAGTGTATGTTCTTGTTATGCGATTATTTTGTACAGTACACATTATGACACATTTGCAGGTACTATAAATTTATAGCGTAATATAATATTTGTGTTATATTATTGACGTTTTAAAATTTCGAAAATTGGAGAATAGTGATATCATAGACAAGGACCACATATGTGCCTTAGTTACTGTACCGTACACAATAAGGATAGCATTTCTAGATATAGATGGCACAATGTTCAAACATATATTTAACACTAGAACGTTGTCTTGCCTAGCAATATTGTTTATATCTAATTTTCGGAATTTTAGGTTTGTTTTTACACCATCCAACAACATTTCTACTTCTTATAAGATATTTGATATTGAAAATGTTCAAAAGAATTGCTTCTAATTTAATATTAGGAATACTTATTGAGCAGAAAATCTCCCTAATTAATAATATTAATATTGACCCCAGTATTCGGATAGCTCCCACATAACGGTATCCCTTAATATTCGGTATTTGGGTGTAATTTTATATTCGCCCAAGCTTCCAAATATCCCCCATCTAATAGTACCCCACATTTTTTGATGCTGTGGGGGATTTGGACACGTTTTTAAATCTAATCGGCAGTAATTTGGCATTTTGTTCCAATTTGGTAGAATGAATCGCACTAAAATTATCTATATCGGTCCACTCTTTGACGTAGCTCCCATATAACGGCACTCAAAATATTCGGCATTTTGGTGTTTCAACCATAGTGGTTGTAATGTTTTATTTTGGATGATCAAAACCTCTTTACCAAAAATTAGCAATATTGGTAAAATTTTCCGTGTAGCCCCATATAATGGTATCCCCAATTGTTTGGTATTTTCTCATGCGGTGTTAAATCTTCCTTCCAAACATTAATATATACCCATTCACATTGTAGTAGCTATAATATACCATAACGGGATATTGAAGGGTAACACACATTTATGAGGGAACATTTCTATTTTGACCCAAACTACTACATACAGGTCCCACTCCATTTTCGGAATTGTGAAGACTTTGACCGAATTTGCTCATAGAGTATGCCATACATATCTCCCGTTTAATTTTCGGTACGTTGAAGTTCTTTCCCCCTTTTCCAACCTGAGTGTCT